CTTAAAGCAACAATAGTGTGATTTGACCTACTGCTAGCAGTAAGGGGATTATCTAGAATCTAAGAAATCTAAAATCTTATTCTTCCTTGAAAATGAAGCTGTGGTTTTCCTTCAGATTTATTCCAGGGTGGTTTACGGAATTTACCAGATTTTTTTACTACTTTTGTGAATTAGACCTGATGAAAAAAAGTATCAATTCTGAGCACAGAATTTATTCTGGGTATATAAACTGAACAGTTCTTCCACAGACCTACTTAACTTCTTCCCCTCCCAGCAGGTCTTTATTTTAAATTCTTCATTTTGATTCAATTTAATTTTTCTAATGCAATTTAGGGCAAGGAGAGATTGTTGCTATTTAGTAGTGGAAATGTAAAAATCTGATTTGGTAAAAAGAATGAAATCTCTAAGATTTAATTTGTTCATTCTTGGATTTTCTGAAGTCTTAAAAATCAGAACATTGCACAACAGTTTGATGCTTGTTATTGAACCTTTATCAATAGCTTCACAGGTTAATTAAAAAGTAAATTCCACTCTATTTTGTGGAGCAGACTGCTCAGTTATCTAGAAAAGTTGATTTCTAGTTGACTTACAGAATAATACCCAGCAGGATTGGTATTATGCTGATAAAAGGAATTTACATTCTCAGGGGGCCAAGTCAATTTAGGGTAGAAAGATCAGTTTTTTCCCAACAAGGCCTTACTACTTTCTCTCACCCTCCACAGGTTCAGAATTTCATTTCATAATCTCACAAACTTCTGATTAGTACCAATCCCATTCCAGTGAAAAACATAACTGTTTGTAATAGTGACAAATATCTGTAGCCCCGGTATATGATGAGAACTAAGCTTCACCCTCAACCATAACTGAACTATGATTAAGAACATTATTTCTCTATATAACTAAATGATAAATAACAATAACCTGCCATAAGGTTACTAATCCAGAGTTAATGTATGACATCTTTCATTCTTAGCTAGGTCATCAATATACTATAGAGACAAACGGGCATCACCAGAGCGTGATCTTCCAAACGTTTACACGTGCAAAGTGTACAGTATTTGCAGTCCAGGGATTGAGGCTAAGGGTTTCCTGAGGGCTTCCACTCTGCATCCCGTTTCCCTCCCCCCTCCCGCATTAAGCAACTACGTAGAATACTAGCTAGACTTCTCTCACACACACACTTCCAGTTGATAGTTACACTACGGTATATCAACTGGGATCCTCCAATACGAACAATGTTATTAAGCAAGCATCAGCCGGCGTAGCGTAGACCAGACCAAAGCTCATGACTAAGGAGGCAGCCCCAAAAACCGATTTTAAAGTAAAGGAACTCCATCTTACCGAATATCGCTTTCTACTAAGGGAGTCTGATCCCCAAGCCACCCAGACGTTGCGGCTATCGACCACTTCATACTCAGCGTAGCTTGGAAAAAAAACCAAAAGCGGGCGAGAGAGCAGCAAAAGGGGCGCCTTCTCCACGTGTGCGGAGAAAGCGCAATAGCCGCGTTTGTAACGGGCGCCAGAAATGAAACTCAGCCTTCCCTGCCCCAATCATTGGTCCGGGCCACGTTACCGGCTGCTTTCAAATCTGACGACAGCTACTTCTTCATTTGTTAAATGAAACAGGAAGCTTCCCTCTTGGGGCTGCGCGCGGCAGCCCTTTTCGCTTGTCACATTTTCTGAGAACGCGTTAAGCCGAGCAAAGATGACTTGTGTTTCCCCGCCGTTTATTTTGGGAAGCGTTTCTCTTTTGCAGCGATGCGCCAAGAACCGAGAACTTTGATTCACGTGCAGATTTCACGCGAGAACGAATGGGCTTTGGGAAAGTGGAAGTTGCCGCTTTACAGAACCGTACGTACGTATTTTGAAACCACGAGTTCATTTCGTGTTCATTACGATGGCTGGCCGCGGAGTCAGCCCGGTGTTTACACTGGATTTGGCATTTTTGTCCACCTATCGAGTCTTTTCCAAGGACCTGGGATAGGCAGACGTTGTTTAACAATGTTAAAGCTACCGTGGTAGGATGCAAGCTTCTTCCAAGAAAGCTTCCTTTTGCAGTTGAGCGATGGGGGTTCTGTCAATGCCTGGGGTGTTCATCTCAAGGCGCTATTACTATTTAGCACTACTTTTGCTTTTTTTTTGCAGCAGTCGTTCTACTTCTGCTTGCAGGTGTTTGCATGTTGTGGTTTTCTCTTGTTCTTTCTCTTCTGTTCCGATGTCTCCACTATCCAGACTTTTTGTCTTTCTTATCCACAATTGTTAAGTCTTGGGTGTTGTGGGGCAGATGTTTGAACTGTAAAACCCTACAGCACTTTAATCTCACCATTTTCTATTACTTCGTCTGTTTCGTGGTCCTACCGATTCTTGCTTGCAGGCAAGTGATATTTCCTACAGGTATCCCAAATGCAACCTAATTGTTACTTTGTCATGACGTTGTTTATAATCCTGTGTGCGATCTTTTTTCAGCAGCTTGGTAGACCGTTTCTTCAGCTTCTTTGCTTTGGCTATCTGTTGCTGTTTTCTTAACTCTGCTTTTGTATGCATTTGTTCTTCCAGCTTGGTCTTGTGCAGTCAGAATTAGCCTCTCTATTATTATTATGGTTGGTATTATATTTTTATCCCACCTTTGTATATGTATTTTATATGGTCAACTCAAAGCAGCAAAAAAATACTCTTGCTGCTATTTTCCCCACAACAACCTTGTGAGTTGGGTTGGGCTGAAAGAGAGTGACTAGTCCAGGGGTAGGCAACCTTGGCTCTTTTATGACTCGTGGACTTCAATTCCCAGAATTCCTGAGCCAGCTGGGAGTTGAAGTCCACGAATCATAAAGAGAGCCAAGGTTGCCTACCCCTGGACTGGTCCAAAGTCACCCAGCTGACTTTCATGCCTAAGAGAGGCTTAGAACTTAAATAGTCAGGATGTTAAACATGACAGCAAGTTGATGCTCTTTTTTATTACTATCTCTATAAAAAAATGGAAGAAATCTGTTTCTCTGGTGTATTTTAAGACTACATGTACAAAATCCTTTGTGGGTATTTTACATGTCTCTCCCCTATTTCCCAGACGTTTTCCACAAATGTTGCTAGTTGATATTTCTTAGTAGCAAATTGAGAATACATAACAGTACTTGGTTACAAACTTTTGACATACAGTAGAAAGGCGTAATATTGGATGGGGTGGGAGGGAACCTTGTATATGCCTCCCCCCATTACAGACTTACTGCTGAATTAAAACATGCCAAGCCTCAGTATGGCTTATGGATTAATGCACTGTGAAACCATAATTTGTAAATTATGTTTTGACATTATCTTGTATAAACCTGGAAAATTATCATCAGTTTATTTGTTAGATTTATAGGTCATTTTTTAAATAGGAGTGCAAGGGAGCATCTTAAATATTCCATCTTTCAATTTTTCCCACAACAAGCTTGTGGGATAGGTTGAGATGAGTCATCTAATGAGCCTTTGATTGTTGGTTGACTGAAATCAGATCTAGTAACTAATACATGCTAGAAATGTAAGAAACGCTGATTTGTTTGGAAACCATGATTAAGTAAATGAATGAGGCCTGAATAAATGAATATCATACTGTGCTATCAATTTGTGTACCATCTCGCTTGTAAACAATTAGGAGTAATTGCTCATCAAACTCATTCTTGGAGCATGCAATAAGAGTTTATATTAATTTCAGTTAAAATTAGTGCTATTTATTCATTTAAAGTAATTAAGCCCTAATAAGGTGCAAATAAGGTCACAAAATGTGTTCACATGATCCTGAGACACAGCAACTGTCATAAATGCATGCCAGTTGCCAAGCATCCAAATTTTCATCCTGTGATCATGGGCATGCTGCAGTGGTCATAGGTGTGAAAAATGGTCATAAATCACATTTCAGTGCTATTGTAACAATCACTAAACAAATGATTGTAAGTCAAGAACTATCCATGCAACTCCAGTCCTCTGGGAAGAGTGCTTTTGTGTTTATTCCTGCATGTGGACTCACATGCATGAGGGACCACCGTAAATGTGGCTTCTACAGGTGGTCCACAACATACCACCATTCATTTAACAATCGTTCGAAGTTACAATGGCACTGAAAAATGTGACTTGCAACCGGCCCTCATATTTACATTCCTCACAGCATTCCTACTGTTGCATAATTAAATTTCAGGGCACTTGGCAACCAGCATGTATTTATGACAGTTGCAGAGTCCTGGGATAGGCAATCACCATTTGTGACCTTCCCAGCTGGCTTCCAACAAAGGATGCCAGATTCATTTAATGACCACATGAATCACTTAACAACCATGGCAAAAAAGAGTTCTAACATCGGATGAGATTCACCTTGCTTAGTAACAGAAATTCTGGCCCCAATGGTGGTCATAAGATGAAGACCCATATCCATCAATCTGTGTTATGTGTTTGGGTGCCTTGGCAATGCAGGCCATGAAGTATCGGGATGTGGCGCTCCTGGCGCTCGTGTAAATGGAGCTCGACTGCTGCTCACGCAGGTGAAGATGCTCATGCGCACGTGTGCTCACCAGCCATTCCTGTGGCCCAGCTGCAATCCTCTCACGGCCCACTAGTGGGCTGCAGCCCACAGGTTGGGGACCCCCTGCTATATAGAACAAAACACAACAAAACAAAGTAGCCCAGAGGGAAAGATTGAATGTCCCAAATCACTTAAGTAAATGTTCTTTTTGAATACTCACAGAATATAGGAGTAGCACAGGACACTGCCTATGTTACTAGATTTTTGTATTACTTTTGAGCAATCTGAGACTTTGGAGATTTATATGGAAATATTTCAGTGTCTGCATTTCCCCCACTGGCGATTCAAAACTATTAACCATCACTTTTGTTTGTATGTTGTTACAATTAGACACGATTAAATGCAATTGACCAAAGGATGCTGCACTGCATGGCGCTGATATTTTACTTCCAGATGGTCTATTTTTCAAGTGTATCATCAAGACATTTTTGTTTTTTGCAAACAAATTTTATTTACAAAAGTAAATGTATTAATTTGTACTGGCATGTCAGCCGTCCAACAATATATATAAACCTCTCTTGATCACTCTGAAAACATAAAAAGGGAATGGAAAAATGTGTTAGATGTTAAGTTTGTGAACTTGAAAGCAAAGGTATATCTTTGCTATGTATCTTTCATTCCATGTAAAATACTACATTGGTACTGTGTCTGGTTACTCAGATAAGTCAATCTTGCGTAATTGGTTTCACAAAGTCATTGCCTGTGGATTTCCCAGCAAAAGAGGTGCAAGCCTCAGCAGTGCACGAACTGGCATCTTCAGTGGTTTGAATTTCAAGAGGAGCTCAGAAAAACTTGTACTACCTAGAAAATATATTGAGAGAAAACAATTTTCCAGCTGTAAGAACATACATACAAAAATGCTGTGTTTTAGAAACAAATATAAGTAGTCCTCAACTTACAACAGTTCGTTTAGTGACTGAAGTTATAATGGTACTGAAAAAAGTGACATATGACTGTTTTTCACATGACCTTTGCCACATCCTCATGGTCACATGATCAAAATTCAGATGCTTGGCAACTGACTCATATTTATGATGGTTGCATGTCCTGGAATCATGTGATCACCTTTTGCAACCTTCTGACAAGCAAAAGTCAATGAGGAGGCCAGATTCACTTAACAACCGTGTTACTAACTAAATAACTGCAGTAATTCACTTAACAACTGTGCAGAAAAGGTTATAAAGTTAAGGGCAAAATTCCCTTAACTACTGTCTCTCTTAGCAACAAAAAATTTGGACTCAATTGTCATAAGTCAAGGACTACCTGTATAGCCCTTTGGTGGTGTACAGCAGTTTTGATTTTCCTATTATTTAAAACACGGAGATCAAATAGGCACATTTTAACAGGGTTCAGAGATCTGTCTGTGACTTAGTACATTTAGATAATCACATCACCATGCTTTAAAAATTATGTTTCACGCCTTCTCTAGCCTCATGGGTTTTACTTATCCAACAACATTAAACGGTGACAATGAATCTAGTCTTCATCTGCTGTATCATAAATTCATTCTCTCTCTCTCACTCGTGGCCCCGTTTGTGTCTGTGCGCGCACATAAAATGCTTCCCCCCCTCTTTCCCTGCGGTCTGCCGACTGAGAAAGGTTGGAGGCCTTTGCCTTAGTGTTAAAATATTTTTTAAAGGATCAAAATGGTAAATTTACCTTCCAAGCCTCCAGCTAACAGCTGTCCTGGAATTGGGACTGAATGATATGTAAGGAAACATGCCAACATACTTAATTGAGATTCATCAATAAGTTGTCCACTTAAATAGGAATGCAAACAAATATCACCGCCAGCTGAAATACACACAAGGGAGATATTTTAGGGGATATAAATGGGATCTGCACCAAATATTGGAAAGTAGAGTTCTGTTCAAAATCCTAGCAAACTGACTATATCTTCCTCTGTGATATTTCATACCTTTCACTATCACCATTACCCATTTCCTCTTTCTTCACTCTATTATCAGTTTAAAAGTATTCATTATGGATTCCGCATCATTAATAGGTGAGCATCTCTTAGTTTTTTCCCAAAGTGTATTTTTCCTTGGCTAACACTACCTTGTACTTACTGATACTTCCCTTGTATGCCTATGCCTCCATTTTCAATATATACTAACAAAGAACTGTTAATTACCACATTAATTTTCTTCATTTCTAGGGTAAAAGTCAAAATTAAAGTAGAAACCATTTTCAGTTTAAAGAACTTATTGTAGCCTTCTACCAGTACAGTAGATAATGAAAGCTTTACCTTGCAGCCACTGATCCAAGGTATTATCGATAGAACACTTCATCACAGGTAAAAATTCTGAATTCATGAAAAGCCCTGCATGTGGATTTTTCCTTATTCTTTCCTGATGACTTCTGGAATTAAAAAACTCTAGAACCAACTTTATCTGCCACAAGTCAAATGTCTCAGACATTTCTTTTTTTTCTAATCGTCTCACGGCCTAGCACAAAAAGAAATGAAGAGGGAATTAAATTAATACAGTAGGGGCAAAGGAGTTACATGTAAGATAATTATCACAAGGTGATGTTCCACTGAATTTGATTTTCCTCAGATATATGTTTGTTATAGATAATAACGGAAACTTGAATTCTAGAAAGCATAAAATAAAATGTGACTGAGGATAAATTATTACAAGTAAATTTTTAAAGCATAATTCAGGAAATTAAAATAATTGTAAATTCACTTAATGTTTGTTTTCTTTAAACTAAAAAATAAGTGTATACATGAATAAGAACATATGCTGAGGAGAAAAAATTACCTGGTCAATTGCTATATAAGCTGGCAACATCTCTGGATTTTCCTGAGTAACACACTCATACAGAATAGATGAAAAGAGGTCAAAAACTTCCTGTTTCTGAAATAAAAAATATATATTTTACAAAGCACACCATCTACTCTTTTAAACATTTGCACCTTTTCTAATTAGTCCAATTCAAAAACATACTTGGGAGTATTTTCTGTTTTACAGTATCTAGAACACAGCATTCAGTTCAGACTTGAATTACATGTTCTTCTTGGATCCCAATACCAGAAAGCTAGAATTAAATGCAAAATGATGAATCCCTTATTCATTTATTTAAAATGCAATGTGTGCATAGATATTAAATATTTCCTCACGGTTGGGAACTATTTTAGGAGAAACCAATTCCCATAGTATTGTCACAGCTTCAGTAATGAAAGCATTGGTGACGTGGCAATCATGTTCTCCATTATGTCCCTAACCTGGTCTTTTAAGTCTTTCAATGATCTGTCATCACCACTCTAATTAAGTCTATCCACCTTACTGCCGATCATCCTCATTACTCCCTATGTCTTTGACCATAGTTCCTATAATTTCTGGTCAGCATATCCTCTGGCTGCCAATTATGAGAATTGTGGCCCAATATAGCTGGGAAATCCAGGTTGGATAAGGATCATCTATGTCATTAGACATTTCAGAATTTTTGACCAATATAACTAATTCCCTTACACACCCTCCCCCATTTTCCCAGCCAGGTTTACATCTGACAACGTACTTGCCCCATAGTAGCAGCTGGCTTGCAAAAATAGTCAGCAAATGAAAGCAGTGCTGGATCAGATGTGAAAGCAGAAATAGCTTCTGGCTAAAAATAAAATGATATTTGAAATTAGAAGATTTCCCTTTTTTGGTTGCAAATTATTCTTTATGAGAAAGTACATTTTACATCCCCCACACCATCAGTGTCTTGGTAAGAACCTCTTGAAAAATAGTCATGCTTTCATCTCCACATATTTAGATTACTGGAGTACACTCTGTGTGGTGCTACAGTTATTACAGAATACAGTGGTCTGATTGCTGATGCACAAGATGCACTTTGACTACCTAGCACTTGTTCTTAAGCCATTGCATAGTAATCTATAAGTTTCCAAGCCCAATTCAGGATGGTAGTTATTACATATAAAGCTCTATATCAGTGATGGCGAACCTTTTAGGGCCCGAGTGCCCAAACTGCAACCGAAAACCCACTTATTTATCACCGGGTGCCGGGTGGGCGTGGCCCACTGGGTGGTCATGGCTGTGGTCATGGCAGACTGGATGGGTGTGGCCAAGGTGGGCATGGTCACCTCGATGTTGCTCATGGGGAAGGACGCCTATGGGGGCCGGGCAGGGTTAGGGGAGATCCAGGGGGTCTCTGGCAGGTGGGGCGGTGGGCAGGAGGCTCGTCCTGTGGGGTGAGGCGAGGCATGGCGGGGGTGCCATTGCCGCGGGGCAAGGCGAGGCAGGGGGCGGGGCGGCTGCTGCCTGACACCATTGGCCACACACAGAGGCCAGCAAGTGCATGGGGGCCGACAGTGTCCGTCAGAAGCCACAGCCTGCCGGCCCCTCAACTGGCGCATTCTGGGGCTCCGCAGCCCACCGCCAGCAGTTCAGAGAAGCTGCCTCTGAGCTGGATGGACGGCCAACAGCTGAGGAGGCGATGCAGTGGGTCGTGCCCAGGAAAAGGACAGCATGTGAGGCCAGGAGGGATGGGATGGGGGGGAGGGAGGGAAAACAGCAGTGCGGGGATGCATCCCGCCAGATGGGAGCTCGGTGAGTTAGTGGGCAGCTGGTTGAAGAGGGACGATTGTCATTTCCAGCGCATGGTGCGCGTGCCAACAGAGAGGGCTCTGAGTGCCGCCTCTGGCACACGTGCCATAGGTTCGCCACCACTGCTCTATATAGTACTATGTTGGATATTACAGTATCTTCAAAATGATTCTTCCTGTCCCATGAGATCATGAGAGACACACTACTTAAGAGTCTAACCTCTCAAGAGCTGGGCTCAGGAGTGTGGTTTTTCTGTGATAGTTCCAATGCTCCATAATTCTCACCCTGTGCCCGCCCCCCAGCATGCCACTTCTGTTATCTAGGTGCCATTCAAGATGCTGATTATTAAACCCTATATGGCTCAGGCCCTTTTGGATCTTAGAGACAACTTCTCCCAAACAGATGCTGCTCTCTTGACCTAAGTGAAAAGGGAATGCCCGCTGAAGGTCCCTTTCTAACATGAGGGAGAGCAGGAAGTAGTGGCTGCTCCCTTTCTTTGGAATTGCTAATCCCCAAGGCAAGGGTGGTCTGTATTCTTATCACCTTCTGGAGAATAGTTAAAATTTGAGTTTTCCAGAAGTCTTTGAGGGGATCTGGATTATTGCTTACAATTTTTTAAAAAAACTTCTTTAAACACCACCTAGAATCTCTGGAATGAGGTGGTATATGAATCAATCAATCAATCAGCTTAGTGGTAACCTGATGTTTTTGAGTTTTAGGCTATTTCTCGGAGATATTGCAGATTTGGTTTCAGATTACTACAATAAAGCGAATATCGCAATAAAGCAAGTCACACAATTGTTGGGTCTCCCAGTGCATGTAAAAGTTATGTTTACATTATACTGTTGTCTGTTAGGTGTGCAATAGCATTATGTCTAAATAAATGTACATAATTTAAATAATTTATTACTAAGAGTGCTAATTATTATCTGAGCCTTCAGCAAGTAATCTTTTTACTGGTACAGGGTCTTGTAAAACAAATCTGCAAATAACAATATCTGCAAAGAGCAATAAAGTGAAGGGAAATAAAACGAGGCATGCCTGTACTTTGCAGGTACCATTAATCTCCCGGTGACGGCCTTTCTACCATATCTCTGAATTCATTTTCCATTACCCAACTCAGCTTTCTAGTTAAAAAATTTAGTTAATTCTTTCAGAATGGAAAAAGTTTTATCTAGCATCACTGCTGGTACGATTAGATGGCAGCAGACAGCACGGTAATTTCAAAGGGGGAGAAGAGCTACCTTCACTGCATAGGCATCTGCATTTCGGTGAGTTACAGTCTGTGCTAACAAGCTTCGCCAGCCCATGGGGTCTTCTTTGTATGAAAGCTGCCCAGCTCTGAGTTTTACATAGAGCACACCATCCTTTGAAAGAATTGATCTGGGGGGAAAAAAAGAGAGAAATATTGAGTTGAACTCTTTTATTTATTCTTTTAGTACACAAAGTACAAGAAGATATGCCCTATATGGTTGTTCATGTAATTTAAGAATGGTCGTACAGCACAAATACTTCAGTATACTAAATATACTTCCAGATACAAAATACTTCAGTATACTAAGTATACAGTGAAAGGGCAGCAGGAGGCCTGAAACACAGAGGGCCAACAGGGCATAGAAGGGAAGAGATAGTGGCCGGAGGGAATTAAAGTGCCCCTATGGTCCTAAGCGCACACAGGTTGCTAAGTGCCTGAACTCTGATCGTGTGAGTGCGATGGTGCCACAACAGCTGTAACTTTAAGGACCGATTGAGAAATGGTGTTAAGTACTATCTGTAGCACAATAGAAAAGCAAACAGCTGTTTATATTTGGATTCCAGAGCCAGTAAAATTGCAAGACAGCGTACAACTATTCAGAATGTTCAGCATGACACTTACTTTAAATGATGCAGCCCTTTGCTTAAATCGATCAGCAGTTCCCAATATCGGGGACCTTTCACTCTGATCTGGAAGGATAACAAATTTAAGTTGTAGATATAAGATTACAAAAAACCTTCAAGTTCCGTATTTCAGGGGAAGTCCCCATACTTTCCAAAGAATCCTTCCTCCTGGCAAAGTCTAGAGAGTCTGATATATGACGTTTTGCCCTTGAAGAACATATCACCTTCTTAAACATGCATTCTCAGAAATGCTGTCTGCACGTGCAGGGGTTTAGGAACTACATCTCAGTAACTTTGCAAAAGAGAATCATCTTGCATACCTGCTTCAGTAAGTGAAGTTCAGGGAGAAGGGTGGGTGCCATAAATTCCTCAGATGTTTCTTCGTACCACTGAGTTCCCTTTGAAATACAAAACAGTTTAGTCAAAAAATATGAAATGTAGATGTAGAAAACATTCACAAACCACATAAGCTTAGGTCAGGGGTAGGCAACCTCGGCTCTTTTATGACTGGTGGACTTCAACTCCCAGAATTCCTGAGCCAGCATGGCTGGCTCAGGAATTCTGGGAGTTGAAGTCCACCAGTCATAAAAGAGCCGAGGTTGCCTACCCCTGGCTTAGGTGGAATGTATAAAGCCCACATCTCAAATTCAAATTACTACTTTTCTCATTTACAGGCATGAAAGATGTTTTCTAAATCGCATGGGATGAAACAACCAGGTTTCAAGAAAATAGATGGATTACATGGAAAAAATCTTCTAATTTTAAGGCCATGGGATATTTCTGCCATAGACCATTCCAGGGTTTGTGGCTTTACTACAAAATAATGAACTGATCCTGCAGATATTGTCTGTTCTTCAGAATCGTACTCTTCATTTCATGTGTTTTATCTTAAGGCTATGCCAAATTATGGGTGGAGTGTAGCTATTTCTTTAAGCCAACCTTTCTTGATAGGATCTGCAAGAGGTCGGAAGTGGTTCTATGAAAGATTGTGATTGGAAAAAAACAACCCCACATTTTTTTAAACTTTGCACTTTGACTATTATTATTGGATGATTATATCCACAACTTAATGGTCACATTAATGTACTGTGAACTGTAGATATATTTTTATGCAGGATTTCCCTGAGATCTGAAAATTATTTCAAAGGTTATTCCAGGGTTAAAAGATTGAGCAGTCTGTTTTAAGATAATGCACTTGGAATGCACCAAATGTTCCAAGGTTAGGAGGCAGGGTACTCCCTGAGATTAACTTCTAGTGGTGGATAGTGGTTTAAATTGTACCAGCTACATCAGTTACATAGCAACGTTGATAGTCTAATGCAGGGGTAGTCAACCTTGGCTCTTTTATGACTCGTGGACTTCAATTCCCAGAATTCCTGAGCCAGCTTAGCTGGCTCAGGAATTCTGGAAGTTGAAGTCCACGAGTCATAAAAGAGCCAAGGTTGACTACCCCTGGTCTATTGTTTTACATTACATCAACAAGATATGTAATGTTTTACAAAAATATTACATACCTTGGATTTTTTATAGAAATATCCTTTTTAATTTTGAGAAAGATTTGATTTACCTAACGCAAAACAGCAATTGTGAGTTACCATCCCTCCCATTCTTTCAAAGAATAGCCTAGCTTTCTCCAGTTCAGGCAGCACTGTGCAGTTATTTCACCTGCCCTAACCCGCATTTCAGAGAATAAAACCTTTTTTTCTCCGAGTGTCACAGAATTTACGTACCTTGTAGGTAACCTCCAGCAATGCATAGCAAGGGGTATCTGTATCTACATCCACAGGGACAAGGAGTCTGGGTTCAGCTGCCAGGACATACAGATGCCGCAGGGCTTGAAGGTGATACCTGTGGCAGAGAAGAAATAATGTAGGCTATTGACTCTTTCTGTATGAATCCATCCATCTCTCATGAATAGCCAAAGATCCATTTAAATATCCTTTCCCTCCTACTTTTGGAGAGATGTGGTCTTGATTCTGTGAAACACTTTTTTTTCAAAGTGATCCAGATTTCATAGTTGTTGAGAAAAAGAATATGCTCTGGAGAGCCTTGAGAAGGTATCAAAGATAATTTTGGAATTAAAACGTCTGAAATTAGAATTTGTAGATTTGTAAGGGTGCAGGCATAGATGCACACCTCAAAGATTTCTGAATTGTAACTTTTCTTTTTCCTGTGAGAGAGGGAGAGAGAGAGAAAGAGAGGACACATTTGCTCCTTAGCCAGAGGACAATTGTGCTGGCATGGAGACTGATAGGTTTTAGATCTTCAGTTTCATAACTGAAATAAAATATATGCTTCATTCATTTACACTGAAAGATTCATTTAAAGAACTTGCTAAAACTATTGTGGTTTTAGTGCATTAGTATTTATAGATTGCAGAGGCTGGGTATTTACTCACAGTCACCCTGTGGTAAGATATGTAGCCAATAAATTAGGTAGGTAGGTAGGTAGGTAGGTAGGTAGGTAGGTAGGTAGATAGATAGATAGATAGATAGATAGATAGATAGATAGATAGATAGATAGATAGATAGATAGATAGATGGAGGGGGGGCAGGCAGGCAGGCAGGCAGGCAGACAGACAGATTTATTGATTTAATTGAATTTCAGAATTGGTGAATATCATTGGCCAGATTGGCACACAGTTCAATGGGACTATTCCAACAGTAGAACTTCAGTCTCCAGTTTAGATTCTGTTTCTTTTTGCATGTTATGCATGGAAAAAACTAAGATATTTCTAGTTCCATGATGTTTTATAGCTTTTTCATATTTCCTCTTCCTTCCACAATTTGTCCCAAGTCTTCTTTACACATACTGAAAATTATTCCGTTTATTATACAGTATTAAGCAAATATGGCATTAGGCAGCTAATAAATTTAAATAAATAATTGAAGACCTACCAGAGATATCAAAATGTTAGGTTTCTTCTAGATCTCTGCAATTACTACAAGAAGATTTGTTTTTAACAAATATGTATTCACCAGACATTACAAGTTGAAATCCTATTTGCCAAATGACAAACATATCAGGCCAAACTATTTCTATCTACCTCTTAATCAGGTCCCTTTACCTGTTATCAGTACTGTGAACTGGGAAATGAGGGTAGAGCGCACAAAGAAGAGCAGCAATTGATGAATTTGAAGTGCTAAGTGAATATCTGTAAAGAAACAATATTTTCCCATGAGACAATAAAAAGCATTTTCTTGTCAAGCCAAAATATGGTCCCATCTTATAATGACTGTAATATCAGTTCTACGCCAAAAGCCCTATTAGAGTTTTTAAATGGAGATGGCAGGGATTTCATTCAAAATTTGCAAGCAAAATATGCTGTCTTTACATGGACAGATGGAAGAATAACTCAATCCCATTGGTTTGCTTTTAAAAATTTATTATATGCCATCAAGTCACTGTCAGCTCTTAACTTTTTCTTCATGATTGATTTGCTTTAGTTAAACATATTTACAGAAACATATTCTGCATATTTTATTTTTCTTGTAGGAAACTAGCTTTTGAAAGAATTTGGAATTACTATTAGATGCATGGAAAGATCTATATCATCAAACCTAAATTTCTGGGACACTGTAATGTCACTCAGTCCTGCTCTTTATTCTAGTTTCATTTTTTGATATAATAATTTATATTCTATCTTTCTATTACCTGTACTTATGATTTCGCAGCATGATGATAAACTATAAAGCCAATACAAGAGGATGTGATTTTTAAAAGTTACCAAGAATTACACCATAAAGGTGAGAAAGTAGAACATATACATTAAATATCAGATAACATTTATACACTGTGTTATTAAGTCAAATCTTAACAAAATAGTGGAAGACCATCAGGGAACGTGCCATTACTGAAAATGCTCTTATGAAATCCTTTTCAATGTTTCTGTGTTTTTGTTCCTCCTAGGAACCAGGAAGAACTTTTTCTAAAAACAACCAATCTAATGCTATGATTATCCTAAACTAAACAATCCTAAACTCATATAACTAAGCAATACTGTGGACAAGATCTATCCTTCCTTGCAGCCTATAACAATTAATCAGTGGAACAACCTGCCTCCAGAAGCTGTGACTACTCCAACACTGGAAATTTTTAAGAAGAGATTGGAGAGCCATTTGTCTGAAACGGTATAGGGTTTCCTGCCTGAGCAGGGGGTTGGACTAGAAGACCTCCAAGGTCCCTTCCAACTCATGTTATTCTATTTCTTTATTCTATTTTCTATCTGTATACCAAGGTTAATAGCAAAGAGATCCTAGATTCTTCAGGTTTGGGTTTTGGTTTTTTTTTTGGCTTTCTGGATGTTTATATGCATGGAAATATAAAAGATTAAGGAGCAGAAGACTCTCAAACCACAGATTACCTTCCTCCTCCCAGAAAGAGGAGTCCCAGAGCCATATGGTGTGCCATATGGAATCCATAGTTCATTTCTCCACCAGTCTTCTTGTGTAGAAAACGACAGAGCTGAAGGATCTTCAGGTTCCCAGATCCTGCCATCACCATTGAAAGGGAAAGCAACACCACACTCAGACAAGTCTCTAGGTTATAGTGTCCAGCCTAAGAAATATGGGAGAGATTGTTTTTATACCTAATTTGCACATTCTAAATATGCTTCTAAGCTGGCTAGATTGCAATCTTTAGAGGAACTAATTTTAGCAAATAACAGACTATATAAAGCACACCAACTTCCGCAATACTTACTCTGAAAACAAAATCATTTATACCAAGAATAAGCAACCCACATCCTGTACATACGCACCCAAGAATCATCCCATCATTATTCAGTGGGAAAATACTGATTTTAACGGTCAAGTTTTTTTTTTCTTTTGTGGGTGCAAATCAAATTAAATGTTAAACTTCTTCCCCATCACATAAACATTGAAAGAAACAAGCAGAAAAACTCCCTTTCCGCCCCCCACCTCCACCCCAGTAATGTTACCCTATCACAGCCATATAACTACAGCCCCTGGCAGGTAAAAATAATAAAAACACCAGCTCCTAGCCAACAAAAAATGCCTTTTGCAATCTAAGCAAAGAGGAGGTAAAAGACAGATTGTCTCTACTAGTAATCGTTAAGGGATTTGGGCTGCCAACCATTTAACTAGCAATATTAGTACTGCTACTTGTTGTAAATAAAGTTGCTAAAATTAAGAACCCTTGGAAAAAAGAGAATGAGTAGATATTACTTTTGAGAGGAATATGAATTCCTACTAGCCTGATAAATCTCAAATGACATAAAATTCTCTCTTTCTTAGTATTTGGCTTACACCCTATCTACTAAAAAAAAATCTGATACTTTCCAGAAAGAATATCTTTTTTTTTACATTCATATAACTGAAGCAACTTGTACAGTTTATTATTACAACAATTACTACCTAATAAGCAAGCATTAGACATGATCCTTTCCACACAACATGCTCAAAACATAGATGCTTCCTGCAATAAACTCTCTGTCATTCATGCGAAAAGCTATTCACAGGATCCGTGTAATGTGCTGCAGCACAGGGGTGGACTGAAACACACTCCGTGAATTTTAAGTATGTGTGCATGGACATGGAAAGATAAGGCAAGGTAGAATTTTCTGTGAGCCAGTTTGATGATCTAATAAACCCCAACTGATTTAAACAAGAAGAGTAGTATACAACTTCACTTTTACTAATACAGTAATGAATTTAAAGAAACTTACAATGGAAGCTGTGGCTGATGATAAACATTTCATGAAGTCTTTTGCAAATGCAAACTAGAAAGAGAAATTCAAGATGAACAAATATATTGTGGCAATGAAAAAAACAAGCACAGAATGGAAAGAGAACTCAGAGATTCCAATCATGCAAACTAGACCTTCTGGTACAGTGCTACCCATAAGGAAATTCTCCTCTTTCACAGAATCAATGTTAAATATATTTGAGGTTCATCTGGCTAAGGCAAGAATCTCTATCAGGCAAATGAAGAATATCTCCTCATTTATGGTCCTCATGAAGTTCTCTAAAAACAAATACAGACATTCATCTGCACAATATTGTATTCTATGCTACATTTTGCAGTGTTGTGTTTTTAAATATATTGAAAGGTAAGCATTGTCATTACTACTCCATTTTAAAATGTTGGCTGATAGTTAAGGGATAGACATTATGTTAACTATCTGTCCAACAAGTACAGCTAGTTAAAAGACTAATTCCACCTTCCCTAACTTAGTATTGTCCAGATGTTCTGGACTGGAATTTCCACTATCCCCAGACATCAACAAGAATTTGACTGGGAAATACTGAAATAACTGATCATTGGGGAACGGCTCTGGGAAGAGCCAAAGAGAGAAGAGTTTAAAAGAAGGCAATTGTATTACTATAGAATAACGCTATGTATTAAGAAAAACAGATGTATACAGTATCTATTGATCTAAGTTAACTAAGTATCAATGAGCTCATCAGTCATGAGATGCCCAGACACCATCATTACTTTAGCCATGAGCTAAAGGAGAGTTGCCCTTTCTACTCTCTTCAATTTTTGTGCATGCCAACACTAGTTTTTCACAGGTAATCTTGCATTCATGAAGCTTGACACTCTCATTTGTCTTTCAACCAAGTGGAAACAGGTCTTGGAATCATAGTAATGTACTCTGGACTTGCATAATGTCCCAGCTGTGTAGATCACGTCAAATACTAATTAGCCATTAATCTACTTACCAAACAGTTAAATGCAGCCAGATTTTCTGAACCAGCAAATCGAAAACCCAGAGACAAACAGGCCCCAGCAATGATATAGACATGAGCCTGCCTAGAAAGAAACATTTAATATAAAAGTTTTTGAAATGTTGTGAAAAATTAATCATAGTGCCCTGCATTGCCTCAATTTTTTAAAAAGGAGGGGGGGAAACAGCAATGGCTCCAGTTCCTTCTACATCAGGTGAGCTGCATTCTCTTGGTTCCTGGAGGGGAATACTAAAGGAATGAACTGAGTCACTGAGGAAGTGCCTTGAAATAGCTTTGCTTCTAGAAGATTTGATATTGAATCAAATAAGACCTTCAAGTATGCCTGGAAGGTCTTATTTTATATAGTATATAGTATATAGTAAATCGTAGTTTTCCAAAGAAGATAAATGAAATGAAGAATGGTTCAGGAAGAAAATAAGGAAATGAAATCCTGAAAGCTCCTTTTTTATAGAGTTCATTACAACTGCACTGATTTCATCTAATGCAATATAGAAAAAGAGATTCTAAAGAGTGGGGAAATTGTTTTGTGCTGCTGCAAAGAATCCATTAAGAGATTATTCACTTTCTCTACACCTCCTTCTCATTTACTACTTACTAAAGTTCTCTTTGCTCAGAAAGTAGCTGAGTCATACACAGACTGCTGTTTCCAAAGATATGAATCTGATTTGTTTTTAAAAGCCATTTACAAACAGATTCATTGAAATATTAGATTAATGGCCACCGGCCACCTCTGTTTTAAAAGGTTTGGATTTTACAAATTTCATCAGGTCTCAAAGTACCAACCCACCCTCATCCTCAAATTAAATGGTATGCAATCTATTAAATGATATGCAATCTACTACCTATGAAATGGTTTGTTTCGCTCAATGAGAAATGTGAAAGTAAACAAGCAATTTTGGGATTCACATGAGTCCTCATCTCAAGTATCAGACGTACTGCACAAACCTCCTGTTTGAACTGGGAGACCCTTCCAGCTGTATTATGAGATGAAGCCAGAAATCAGCACTTTTCTGTACTCTAATAACATTTGAAAAGTATCAATAATGTAGTAATACTTGAAAAGTATCATAATGACTACAGTATAGGACAGGAGTCTGCAACCTTGACAACTTTAAGATTTGTGGACTTCAGCTCCCAGAATTCCTCAGCCAGCATAGCATAGCTGGCTGAGGAATTCTAGGAGCTGAAGTCCACAAGTCTTAAAGTTGTCAAGGTTGCAGACCCCTGGTATAGGAGAAGGAGTGACAAAGCCTGAGGGTGGAATCAAGAGAATCAGCCTAGAGTCTCCATGTTGCCACAAGCAGACTAAGTCCCTCTTGAATTCCGTTAAATCTTATCTAATACCAAAGTAATGCTAACCATTAGTCGACTAGATTCCTGAGCATAGACATGAAAAATAAATTAGTTTAATTGGAACTTAATGTGTGGCCCTGGTTTTTCATGCCATTTCATACAGTCAGAATATACTGAGGGCGATTATGAATGGAATTTTAAACTTACTGTAATTGGGGAGACTCCTATGGGTTATGCATCGATAGTTGATATAGTTAATATCAATGGATGGGAAGGCCCTAATGTAGGGTGAAAATACTTACTCCATGTATTATTATTATTCTCCAGAAATTCAAGAAACAAAAATACCTGTATATAATCATCTCCAAGGGTACTTCCTCATATTGCAGTGATGGCGAACCTTTTAGAGACCGAGTGCCCAAACTGCAACCCAAAACCCACTTATGCATTGTCGAGTGCCGGCTGGGTGTGGCCCATTGGGTGGGCATGGCTGCGGTAGTAACAGCAGACTGGGTGGGACTAAAACGTTCAATCAATCAATTCCAACTTTGCAAGATCTTTTTTTTCCCACGAGAAGTTGAAATTGACTCATTGATTGAACCTCTTTTTTTTTTGCACATGGCGGCGGAGGCCTAAAGCGAAAAGGTTTTATAAAACCCAGCTGAAGGCCTAGGACTGGGGTGATGGCGCGCGTGCCCACAGAGAGGGGTCCGAGTGCCGCCTCTGGCACACATGCCATAGGTTCGCCACCACTGTCATATTGTATTTGCAGTATAATAAGTGCTATACTCCATTTAATCTACATGGCATCACTAGTCTGATTTCAAAAATAGTTTATGTATTCAAGTTTCAAAGTCACTTTGTAGCAGTTTTTACACAGAAATGAATGTGTATAGAACCATAGCGGCACAGTGGTTAGAATGGAGTATTGAAGGCTGACTCTGCCAACTGTCAGGAGTTCAATCCTGCCCAGCTCAAGGTTGACTCAGCCTTCCATCCTTCCGAGGTCAGTAAAATGAGGAGCCAGATTGTTGGGGGAATTAGGCTGACTCTGTAAACCGTTTAGAGAGTACTGTGAAATACTATGAAGTGGTATATAAGTCTAAGTGCTATTGATGTTTCTATAAGCCTGAGAGTTATTCTTTATTTCACCTGCTTAACGATTCTGCAAGACAGAACACAATTACTTACGCCAAAGTCTCCAAATTAAGATCTTCTGATGAGGGCATCTCAGTTGCATGGAGTGAGACACTGTTCTCTCTAACAATCTATGGAAATGTAGTAACTGCAATTGGTGACTCTCAATTTTATAAAAGGCATCCTGTCTAAATTAAACTTTTATTAAATAATCAACCAGCCTTCTGTGGCTGATGGAGATGGTATGAATTGCAATACAATATATTGGGAAATTACCAGACTGTCAAGGGCAAAGGTGGAAGCAATTTTAACATATTCTCTCTTCCCTGTCTTGCCACAGAACATCCTCTGCAAGAAAGGATCTCTGGAGGAGGAGAAATTAATAAAAATTACATTCTCCCATTGCTACCACCTAGAACTCCGTTCAGGGAGGGTTCTGGTTAATGCAAGCAACGTAGTCTGGAACTTGTTGTTTCCAACTAAATTATTAAGACACAGAAAAAAAGATGGGCAGGTTTCTCAGATTTCCAGAAGGTTGACTTTTGAAAGCACCACTCACATTTTCTTCAATTTATGAACTGTTTATCAAATGAGAATAAAGTGAGATTCTCAGCATCTTGCAAGTCTACATTATATAGCCACAATCACAGTAGGATCTTATGCACTGCTTAACTGACTCCATATAAGAAAAGTGACTTTCAGTCTATGCTGAAAGAAATTCTGAAGTTTCTTGGGAGATTAATAGAGATTGTACAATTGTTGCCCAAATAATGTTGTCCACTTGCTAACTTTATATCCAGTCATTTGTTCAGTAGCTCAAGGTAGCATATAAAGCTCTCCATCTTCTCATTTTATTCACAAAAACCTTCTTGGGTAGATTTGGCCAGGAGAGATTGACCTAAAGTGCCCCCTCACTGTCCCTGGTTGAGGATGGACCTGAAGTTGGATCTCCCAAATGCCCATCAAACATTTTAATCATTTCACCATACTGTTACTCAAACATTTTGCAATGCACAGCCATATGGGCTGTTCTAAAATGCACTTTAGTATATGTGTATAATCAGCTAAGACCTAAAGAAACTAAAAAACTTTTCACACAAACTAACAAAGTGCCATGGAGTATTCCTTTCCTCCTATTCATTTGTAGTGCCATACACTAAACAAATAAATTCATTTGTAGTAGGTTGAGGTTTAGAAGCAGATATTCAAGATCTAAGGATACTAGTGAACAAAGCATTCTTGAAAGGCAGAAAATCCCGATATCATTGATTATATATAACAAGCATATTGAAAGCAGCAACTTACTTGTGGCACATTGCTATCAATCCATTTTGAACTGGGCATTATATCATCCCACATAATCAAGCATCGAGCAAGTGTCTTCAGGCAAGAAAAATGACAATCAAAAGAGGGTTAAAAATTAAGTTATGATAATGAGGTCAGATACTACAGTAATTTAAGAAATCAGAAAAAAATTAAATCTATTAGAATGATACATACAGTCCACCAATCCTTGAGCTCTCAGAGCAAATACAGATGTTACATTATGCAATGCCCCCATGTACAGAGTGTTACGTTATTTTCAGACTCATATACATACCCCTTGGAACAGGGAGAAATATCTCTAATTTTGCACAGTGTAATCCTATTTGCTGTTTTCAGTTACAATGACCACCAGGAGACAAGCATTATATGACCAGTTTTTATCCTATTTGGGACTTTTCAGACATAAGAAGCCAGATGTTATTCTTTGGACTTCAACTCTCTACTGGAAACTGAACCCATGAATCCCAAGTAGAATAAAACCAATGACATGATATCCATCTCCCGGTGGTCAATGTAAGTGAAGAAATCAAAATTGAATCAATTCATTGAAAAGTGATGGAATACCCATTTTATATTTATAAATGAAAAATGCCCTGAATCTGTATAATTGTACCTTATATTATACCTGTATAATTATAATTAAAAGGCATACAATTTTATGAAATATACCTCACTTCACAAAAGTTTATGACATGTAATAAGTTAGTTTGAAAAGATACCAGACTTCTGAATTTCATGGATTGATTGTTGTTAGTTAGCAAATATGTTTTTTAGACAAAAATGATACAAGACACATCTGCCTAGATTTAATCCTGATTTCTGTGTTTCTTTTCTCACTGTGGGAAAATATCAAACTGCTATGAGTTAACTGGAAATATTTGGAAGCACATAACTAAGATAAATTGCCAACATCATTGTGGGGATTTTTTTAAAATGTGTATGATTAAAAAGGTTTTAAATACACTCGTCATTGCCACCATAAAATTTTAAAACAGGCAATGAATGCTTCTTAAGTTTAATTCAAGAATATCTCAAATTTGAGCATAAACCTCACAGAAAGAACAATGGGGAGGATGTTCCAGTCACAGAACTTTCTAATGGTGTTTGTAACGACATGGATGGAACCATCATAATTTTGCCAAGCAGATTAGATCATAGAAATACATTTTGTATTTTGGAATAAAATATACATGCTTTATTTTTCAGACAACAGCTTTATTTGATACAACTAAGCCATGCGATTCTGATTTAAATTTATGTTGCTGAAAAACTTAAAAGGATGATTTCTTAAATGGTATGAACTGTACTGAGTGAGTCACATAAATATGATTATATAGTAAGATATCACAGAAATGTGGTGTTTTTCTGCTATTATCTCTGCTAACCACATGTGATATGGCAAGTCTTGCATGCAAAATGCAAAATGAGCTTAACTGGGGCAGGATGGAACTCTATGTGCTCAGTAGATAAGCAATAAAGTGATTGAATTACCTGGCAAGATAATCTATAGCACATTTAAACAGATTAATATAACAGTGCACACTATCAGTTTATTTTGGGCTGCTTCCTTTCCTAATAGAATAAAGGCAAAATAAAAACATACCCTCAATAAAAGGAATTCTGGTTTTACAAAGTCCAACAAATACATTGTGTCTGGAGCACAAAGCCAATCAGCAATCGATCTAACAAAATACAACATAAAAGCAGAATTGTAAATTAAAATGGCTTGCCTAATGAAGCATGGGAAACTACTTCAATGCATCTTAAATGGCTGAGTTTGCTATTGCTATACAG